GGTACAGTATTCCACGGACAAAGGAGTGAAAAGCAAGTGATAATTACTATGTATAAAACAGAATATTATTTAATAGAATAGGTAATACAGATAAGATAACTATAAGATAAAATAAGATAAATTATAATAATGATAAGATAACAAGAGGTAAAGGTAATCAACATTATGGATATGTACTTATGTAAGTAAGTACAGGTGTTGCAGTTACTTGGTACATGAAAGGTACTGTGACATGTACTCTGTGGCTGACAGCTATCTCCTCTACCAGCAGCAACAATCAAGTTTCAAGGTACAAAAGGGAAAAACAATCTATGACAATTGTCATGTTATGCCTTACAAGAAGTTCCTGTCCTTTTATTTTGACTGGCAGATAAACGTGGAAGTAGCAGTTGGCATTGAAGCCATAAAATACATATATAAGTATATCTGCAAAGTGCACAAACAAGCTTATTCAGAACTCCACAATAATGACAAGACTTCCGCTTTCATAGATGCTTGATACATTGGTCCCCCAGAAAGTCAGTTGTCATTCTCAACTGGGTTTCATTTGGATACTGACAGCATTTTGCAGCTGCTTGGTGGTTGTTCCAGTTTGACTTATCTGAGCAGTTCCCTGCTGTTCAACAATTGAGTATTCATAATGAACATGGAGAAAAGTTACCTTATCATTTAGAAGATGGGCACATTCTTTTGGAATTTTGCCTCTTTTCTTCTCATCCCCAAAAAACCCATCTATCTCATCTTTAAAAATAATCATGTTTAGATAAATCATAAATATGATTTTTTACTCTGTTTCTGATGGTTTCTGTGTGGCATCTTGTCATGTTGTCTAGTGCTGAAATCCTTGAAGTCTTTGAACCCTGGTCTAGTCTTTATCAACTGTGATTTGTTCCAGTCATCCTTTCAAGCATATGTTAGATCTATGTTCTTCATTTTGATATTCATTTTTTTCTCAAACCACAGCTTGAACTTGCCACTCCAACAAAAGCTTGTTTTTTGTTACCCTAAAACTTTTCTGTGAAATTCTCCCCATCCTTGGTTAAAATCTCAACAGCTTCAAAGGCTAAACGCATCAGCCCCAACTGAAAATACTACATTGACAGACAGAGTCCTTCAAGACTTGTCTGAATTAGAATCACAAAACCCAGCACATAAGAGAGAATCAAATCGGATTGATAAAAAAAAGAAGATGGTAATTAGAATGAAAATAAATACAAATAATCAAATGTGTGATTGTTGCTGTCCTCGATGTTATAAACAAAGTGAGAAAGAGAAAAACTATTCTAGATTGGATGAAGAAAGGAGAAATGTGCAGTTATGTTTTTCAAAAAATAAACATAAAAAAAACCTGATTAAAAGCAAATGGTGTAAATGTATTGTAACACTCCAGAAGGCTGAATGAACTTGATAACATCTGAATTGTATTGTTTGATAGATAGATGGAGGAGAAAGGAGGGGGATCAGGAGACAAAAAATGACAGAAAGAGAGAGAAGCATAACCCTGGCACTTATATGTAGATCAAATCGTACAATTTTGATTTTTATTTTTCGGATTTATTGATCAGTCTCCGAGGGCAGATGATCATCGACGGGGATAGTGAAGTTAGTGACTTGAGGAAGATACGCCGAAGAGGCGAGTTCGAGACACCACACTTGATCATACACATGTCGTCCATCAAAACCACCGATGATAATCAATCGAGAGTCGTGTAAAGTAGCTGTATGGTATCCGATCCTCGGTGGTAGTTGTCCTCTAACTATCCTTGGTTCCCATTGTAAAGTAACTATATATATATATATATATAATGGATTAGAGATCATTCATCTGTATAAGATTGAAGAGGAGTTCATACCTAAGTTGAACAGCTTGACTTCAGACGTATAATCTTCTCCATCATGTCCACCAATCACGAATAAATAAGATCCGACTTGAGTCGAAGTATGAGCCAATCGAGCGATCGGACATTCCACCTCGACCTGAATCCACATCAAATTTTCTAGATATATTTTGGAATCGATCGATTAATTCCCGGGAAGAAAAAAGCTATGACAAGACAGCCAAATCAAAAGGAAGAATGAAAGAGAGAGAGAGAAGAAGAACGCACCCAAATCGAGGATAAAGATATCACTAAAGCATTCGCCCCCATCACTACCGCCAAAGATGATACATTTACTGCCGACCAAATTTGCGCTATGATAGCCGCGATTAAGAGGCGAGCGACCCTTGATCGCCAGTTCGCGCCATTCGAGGTTCGTCAGATCACTCAGATCGAGCGCATGGACGTCGTTCAAGGCCCGTGATCCATTGCCTCCTCCGAAGATGATCAGTTGGGTTCCGTATAACACTGTCGCATGGGCTCGTCTAGTCGATGGCAAAATTCCTTTCACTTTCGGTTTCGTCCATGTCAATGAAACTGGGATAATTTGAGTAAGTAAGAATATGGAGTACTATGTTTTTTTGATGATGAAGAAATGGAAAGACTGACTGGTATCCAAATAATACAAAACATCGAAATAATTCGGCCCGTCGCCTCCGCCGAAGATGAAGATTCGGCCATCGAGATGAGTGGCAGAATGAGCGCGACAAGGGGGCGGGATATGATCTTTAGGATGGGAGCGAACTTTGCGCGCCGGCTGATGAAGACGATGATTATTAGAAGCGGCGCGACTATTGGGATGATGATGATGATTATGATGAGGATCGTCGAGACTATTGATCTGATGTTGTTGTTGGTGATCATCATTCTCATCCTCGTCGTCATCCTCGGATCCTTTGCACTTCATCTTAGTGAAACTGAGCGTCTCGAGGTCCAACTTCCAGACGTCCTTGAAGCAGCCCGTAAGGTCCGTCCCGCCGAAGATCCAGATAGCATCGTTGACCAAGGTGGACGTATGAGCCCTGAGTGGTTTGATCAGTTTCGGGCCGTGGATCGAAGCCTTTGAGAGATACATGCAAGCAGCTGGTGAGGCTTCGACTTTGGCGGTCGGTAGGAGTGGTAATCTGGAGCTGGAATGGTGTGAGGGTAAGGTAGCAGTGTGAGCGGTAAATGGTCTGTTAGGCCGGGCTACCGATTGGCGCAGTGGTGGTGGTGGTGGTTGGTTACTATTACTATTAGGTTCGTTGTTATTAGTAGTCATGCCATTTGAGGTCGTTGTCGTTCCTGTTCCTGGTGGTGGTGCTACGCCAGTGGTAGCTGTTGAGGGGTTATGCGCGTTTTCGTTGTTGATCATGTTCCTTGAATGATAAGCTTGTTGGTGTTGATGATGATCCATGATGATCTTCTGATCGCGGATCGAAGCAGCAGTTGTACTACTACCCTCGATCGATCTGGCAGGCGAGGGTTGGTTGATCGAAGTCTTGCGATGCAGTTTGTTGTTTGTTGTTGTTGTGCTAGTCGATCGTTCTAGTTGGTTGACTCGGTTTGAGTTGTTTGCTATTGAGATTGGGATGTTTGATGTTTGGTTGGTATTGTAAGCCATGACGTTTGAGGTGTTCTTAACTTTCTCGATCCTTTCCATGCAATGATTTCTTTGTGGCTTCCTCGACTCCGAGTGAGAAATCAAAGGCGTACATAAACCCATATCATGTAACCAACCATCGGGATCTTCATTCCCAAGGACCCTTAACATCCAAGGGCTACTCAGCCCTATTAATCACACATGCCCTGGGGACTGGAAAATGCCAGTCCCCAGGGCTTTGTTTTTTTTGGCCTGCCTCAGGGGAAGGCACTTCTATTTAAGAAGTGCCTTTTCTGGCTATTTCCTTCCCCCATCAGCAATCAAAACCAATTCACACACACCAAAGACATCAAACCCACCCACCAACAAAAAAAAACAAAGCTTCTTTATCAAAATGGTTATGAACCCTTTATTTATACTAAATTAACTACATATGAATATTACACTAACATGGTTTTTGCCTGCCTCAAAGTATGGCTGTGTTTCTTGCAGGGACCACCTCTTGGAGGAGTCTCGTGAGGTTGTACCTTTCACCGGGAAGTGCAAATCAGCATCAAAGGTATAACCTCACATTCACAAGACTCCTCCAAGAGGTGCTCCCTGCAGAAATCACAGCCGTACTTTGAGGCAGGCAAAAACCATGTTAGTGTAATATTCACATGTAGTTTATGATTTAGTATAAATAAAGGTTTCACTTAAAATCTTGACCATTTTGATAAAGAAGCTCTGTTTTCTTTTTAATTTGTGACATCTTTTATTTACAAAAATTATGAATTCTCACTTAATCATACAAAGGTCACTCATTGATGGAGTCCCTAATACATCCATATGCCAGCATTTTTATAGTGGCTGTTGCCTTTTAATGAAGTGTTGAACATCCTGATCTTCCAGCCGCATTGCACTTTGGTACAAAATAACTGTTGGCTGGCTTCTTCAATATCTTCATTAACAATTCTCAACAAAAAAAGGCTTCAGTTATGAGAAAAAGTAATTGTAAATGTGGCTATAAAAAAAACAAGAATATGAAATTAAGGTGGTTGAAAAACACACAATATTTTCACAGGTCATTAATTCCATTTGGCATTTTGTAAATGATGCTCAAAATCTGAGACGTAGCAGCCAGCAAACTTGTTGAAAAACCTGCGGATAAGAACATTCCACATAACCAACCAGATTTACAGACGGTGGTTAGAAACCCTTTACATTTTTTTTTGCTGTTGTACTTGTGAATCAGGTTGGATGAATTTGTTCCCAACAATAATTTGAGTAATGAGAATTCAGCAAAGCGCGCGATAGAGAATCCACAGCCTCTGAGTATAGAACTTGGATCCCCGTGTCATCCCCAACAAGGATCCTGAAGCATCACACCCAAAAAAGAAGCAGACCAATTTTGACCCCGTCAGTCATGACCTCATGACTAGGAAGGGAACTCTGAAGACTAGAATGAGTAAAACTTCTCCCATACGCTACCAACAACTGGTCAAACAGATATAAAAGGAGGAACTGGAACTAAGGGTCAGGAATCATTGACACACAGACTCTCCTTTTTCCTGATATCTTTTCATCTCTCAACCTCAGAACTAATACTTCAACCCACCTCTCAAAACCCTTCAACCTAGGCTACAATGGAGGACTTCCCGTCGTCCAAATCTGTAAATTTAGAAGGACATCCTAAACGTTATTTGCTGGCAAAAATTGATCGAGATCAAGTTTTCACCAGCCAATAGAGTTTAGGACCCCCTTCCAGATCAAGCGATTTGGGCGACGGGAAGTCCTCCAATTCCCCCTAACCAACTATGAGATCCCACCAGAAGCCCACCGCTGTTGTTGGAACCTACTCTTGTAAATTGATACCTCTGCCGTCCAAGCCTTGAAATTCAGAATACTCTATCCACCAAGTAAGTCAATTTGACTCTGATAGATCCTCCTCCCTCCTACTCCTTTACGTGGAATCTTTGCCAAGATCCTGTTGTAGCCAACACCGGTCTCTATATTAGACCTAGGCTTGCATCTGGTGGGCACCGTAAAAACCCCCATAACCTGGGCCCCTTGGTTTCCTTCTAACTCTCTCCTCTACCAAACCAGCACCATAAGCTGGTGTAGCTAGAAGACCTACTGTCTTGGCATCACCAAGCCTGACAAATACCAAGTTTCTGGCCCAGATCATGTTGTTACAAAGCCTTCTCAAGTGGTGCCAATGGATATCAATTTCATTTTGGCATCTACTGGTTTCACTTATTTGACTTGGTGTAAGGTGTGTACAGACAGAAAGATATGCTTTTTTTGTGTTCAACCTTTTTACAAGGAGAATGTGGATAATCATGGTTCCTCTTGCCAATGGGAAGTGGTTAAAGAAGGAGAAATTGTTACCTGTTTGGAGGGAATGGGGTGGGAAGTTACAAGAAGATGATCTGGATTCTCATTAGTCTTCTTATCAATCTTATGGAAATAACTCAGATAAATTAAAGAAGCAAGAGTTTATTTTGGAGGTAGATAATCAAAATGCTTAAAAGAGACAATTCTCTTCCCTTTCATTTGCTTCCTCTTCCTCGGTTGTACCATTGACTTTGGTACATGTCAATTCCAGAACAGATGTCACTCAGTGAAATCATTTTAAATTGTCAAATGAGTGATTTGGAGTATGAAAAGTGTAAGTATTATAATCAAGTTTTATCTTCTTCTTTGAGTAATGGCCCTTTATTTGAAGGAGATATGATATTTAATAATCAGGATCTGATTAATGTCACCATTTTGGTTGATTTGGGTGCTTTGAAATCATTTATTGACACTGAATTTGTTTCTTTACACAATTTAAGAATGAAGCTATTACCTTCTCCTTTGATTCTCAGGTTGTTTGATGGATTGGCAGCAGTCAAAGGCAATTTTCTCCATTATGTAGATGGAATTTTTATGATTCCTTTACAGGAAGATATTTAAATACAACAGTTCAACTTCATGTTACACAGCTTTCTTCAGCTTCTTTTATCTTTGGTAGCACTTGGCTCAAAGCTACCAATACTTAGATTGGAGGTGTAAATAATTAAATCATTGTAGATGGCTTTAGTTCCTCTAATTCCTCTGTAGAGGAGTGGCCTGGTGGGGTTTTATTGAAAATGTTTTCCAATATATTTGTAACAGACAGTTTGGTGTCACTTCCCCCTCACCAGGCAAGGCACAAATGTTACCGCCGATAATCTCTTTGTGGGAACTGAGTCAAAATTTATTGCCTTGGAAGAAATGGTTGCAAAGGATCTTGGCTTTGCAGTTACTGTCAAACACCCTTTGATTTGGATCCTATGTATCAAAAATTGCAGTGCGGCTACAAAAAAACTGGACACTCCTCTGGTTCCATGCTTCAATGCCCAAGTCCAATTTCCAGTCCGGACATCTAGGCTGCCTGCAGCTGCAGATTGAGGCAGTTGATTTATGAAATTGATCTTGTATTGGAGGCTGCTTGGATTTTTCTCATATGACCATTAAAAATTTCCTCTTTCCTTGAAACCTCTCTGACTGCATGCATAACGCAAGATGTATCTCTACCTTGATAAACTTATTCTTGAGTTTCATTATAATTAAAAATGACTTTTTCCTTCTCCTGGATTACAAGGGTTGTGCTTGAGGCCAAATCAATGGCACATAGAAGGCGGTGTGGAACACGTTTCTATAATCTATTCCAGCCAGAATATAACTCCCGTATTCATGGCACTCTTGTCTTTTTTGTTGAGTTTACCAAGAAAGTTTTGAGGAACAGTTTGAAAATGATAGAACATCATCTCATAATGACAAGTATGAAGATCTGGGAAATGAGATGGTATCAGGAGTAGATAACAGGTGGGTGAAAGGGGTTTGTATTGGTATTGAAATTTGTAAAATAAAATTTATTATTGATGCAGGTGAACTCAAGTTAGAGATAAATTGGATAAAGAAATGAGAATTAAGAATTTAGCCTGATGGACTCTAATGTGGCACTTTTATTAATCCAGCATCTCCATCATGATAATTGAAAAGACTAATTTGAGATTTTTGGAGTCATTTTTCTGATTTTGAGTAATCCGATACAAAGCGCATGTATTTCGGTTTTACGTCTTCTTGAATTCTTACTAAATGTCTGTTCTTTTCTTTTTCCTCAGCTTCTTGTAACACTTTCTCGGAATATTCTGATGATGATTGATTTTATTTTCAGCAAATTCGAAAGAAAGAAAAAAACAAAAAAACACAATGGAGTAAAGTTAGGATAAGAACTCCCCAAAAAGTGTTTTTTTCACAGATCTCCCCAAAAAACACAATTTGAGAATAATTTGCGCTTACGTTGGAAGAAGAGAGACCAAAATTTGTCGCCGTCGAGAAATGTACCATACGCTGGCAGTTCCGAGTGTTGTTATACAGTATGCATTTACGTATATATCTATACTTATTATTTCTCACGTCATAGGTTTTTCACATACTATGTTATTAGATAGTCTAGTATGCATTTATTTCTCATCAACCAAAGTATGTATTTACAAAACTATAAATAGTTGTACTACATCTCTGAAATATATTTTCCCTTTGGGGGAGTTTTCTTCATCTCATCTTATTATTAGGATCCGTGATACAACAGGTTATGAGCCTGCGCTGTTACCAGCGAGGTCTACCCTAATCTTAACCTTACATATCTCGCTAAGCCAATCCACCCTTCTGTGGAAACGCTATCTCATACATCATAACTTAGTCACCCTTCTGTGACGATTGGTCACCCTTCCGTGATATCATATGGTTAACACCCGATCAGAAAATCCTGAGCTTGTTATTCCAAATTTCGCCGCTAGAGTTACTCCACCCCGTCCGGTAAACCCTTCCGTTGCGGACCAATCTTTTGATACTTCTTTTTTTCAATCAGCCGACAATTCTTTTTTCAGTATGCCTGAGAATTCAAACAACACTCCACCCATCCCCAACAAACAAAACCAAATCCCTTTCCCTTCGTCTTCCACTCCTCAAGATCCCTCCGACAATAGTCCGGCTCCGCCGAGTCTTACTCAAAATTCATCAAAAACTCGGGATTCGAACGAGAGTAAGACCGATGACAAAGACGTCCCGCCGCGCTCTCTTGAAGAAATCATCGGGTCGGAGCTTCAGAAATCAGGTCTTTCTGGAATCGATGATAACCTCCTCAAAGTCCTATTGATTCGAAATCTAACCCGTAGCACTTTCGACTCCGAACAAGCACCGTCCTCTTCATCAAAGTCGCTCATTTCAGATCACCTCAAATGGCATCAATTGGGGAAAGATATGACTCCGCAGTTGGCGATGGATGGTTCCAATTTCCCTAGCTGGTCGGCGGCTCTTCTCGACATTGTCAAACGGGTCACAGGCGTCGACAAGTACTTCGATCTAGACCGATCGTGTGTGGATTCGGCGACAGCGGCTGGCGTTCTCACATTGATTCAACAATCAATCAATCCAGTGCTACGCTCATCCCTCAACGGATTGAACGCGTATGGGGCCTACGAATCGATAAAAGGACGTTTTGCTGGAACCTCCTGGTCCCTCCTCCTAAATCGCTGGTCCGACATCGCCCAGGCCCCAGATGCTTCGGATTCACTTTCAGCCAGCTATGAGGCTCTCAAGCGGAGCTGGTATGATTTGGAGGAGAGGTTGGGAGGTTGGACAACAGATAAGTTATTATCTTTGTCTTTTCATTCGACTGTCAAACGCTACCAACAGGGAATGGCTGATTCGATGGATGCTCGAATCGCGATAAAGCCGAACCATGTCGTCACCTCGGAAGATCTGCTTCACATGGCGACTCGGTTTCACCAGTCCGCGATGGCATCGGGATCGGCGTCGGCAATGGCCGTTTCGTCTCAGCCAAATCGTGGGTCTTATCAACATTCATCTCGTGGCGGGAGAGGACGGGGAAACTTCCGACACAACCGCGGATCTACTCGTTCTTCCCCTCAATCGTCTCGTCCCCAGTCTAACTCTGCAGCACCGCCCCCGGATAACTGGGCCCGTCAATACCTCACACCTGAATTCCCGTGCAATTTATGCTGGGAATGGGGTCATTGGGCGCCCGATTGTCCTCGTGTCAAGCAAAATCTCCCTCCTCTCGATGATCCCCGCAAGACCGATCCCTCTTGGAAGCCGAAGAAGTCGTCGGTATTGTCTGGACGATTGTACAAGTCGGGGGAATTGGCCTCGGTTTCAGCCACCCCGGAAAATCCCGACGATCCATTGTGTGACACAGGAGCGACGAATCATGTAACGTCGCATAAATCTTTTTTTGTTAATTTGCGACCGGCTAATGTGAAATTGCGTGTTGCCTCTCAAGACCGCATTTCCGTAGACGGCGTAGGCGATGCCATCGTTCCCACTTGCTATGGCAACTTGCATCTTAAAGATGTACTCCTGGTCCCTCGGATTTGTGGAACGGTAATCTCTGTTGGCTATTTTGATCGTTGGGACGGCTCCATTGAATTTGTCGACGGTTCATTTATTCTCAATCAAAACAATTTTTCCTTTCCTACGTACATAAAAAACTATCGATGGTTTATCCCCTCTGTTTCGTCTGCTGTTTCTCTCGACTCGTGTGGTTCTGCTCCATCTTTGTCTTCTATCGCTTCATCATCTTTGTGGCACACCCGATTGGGACATATCGCCGTCCGTTTTTTCAATCGAACTATTGCGACGCAGTGTGTCTCTGGTATTCCAATGAAAAAACTATCTTCGCCTAAATCGAAATGTCATTCTTGTTCCTTGGCAAAAAGCACCCACAGCCCGGTGAACTCTCCGTCTAGAGACGTTGTTGATGAGGCAGGCGACATGGTTGCTATTGATCTAGTGGGTCCTTTTCCGGCGGCGTTGGATGGAAGCACCTACGGCCTTGTCATTCATGATGTATTTTCGAGACTTACGTCGGTCATCGGACTTAAGACCAAGGCTGAAGCCGGAAAGGCGGTTACTGACTGGATCCTTGAGTTCAACAAACGGACCTCTATTTGCGTGAAGTCGATACGCTCGGACAATGCCGGTGAATTTACTTCCAATAAATTCAACAAATTCTTAAAAGACAATCACATCCGCCATGAGTTGAGCATTCCATATGAGCACCATCAGAATGGGAGTGTTGAAAGAACTAATCGGACTCTCCTCGATATGGCTCGCACGTTCATCATTCACGCTAAGCTACCCAACTCTCTCTGGTTTCTCGCGATGAAACAAGCCTGTTTTATTTTCAACCGAATAGTACACACCGGCGCCGACAAATCCCCTTATGAGATTGCATTGAAGAAGCGCCCGTCTCTCGACATGGTTCGCGTTTTTGGATGCCGGGCCTACTTACACGACATCAACTACAAGAAGCAATTCATACCTCGTTCGACGGCTTTGATTCATGTTGGAATTCTGGATGAGTCACATGGCTGGCTTTTGTGGGATCCGGTATCCAAAAAACTGGAAAAAGGAGCTTCTGTGATTTTTCACGAAGACGATTTACCCTCTCAGTTGACGAATTCTGGCAATATCAATGCCGTCCTTAATTCGATACGCGTGGATGCTCTGGGAGATTTCAGACAGGTCCGTGAACTCGAAATACAGGACGCGTGTCTCGAGTCGGCTGTGTCAGTCTCTCCTTTCAGTTCGGATGCGCCTAACACTTATAGCCAGGCGGTGAAATCGGCTTACAGGGTTGAATGGTTGGCGGCAATCGATGACGAGATCGGCATGATGCTTCAACTTGAAGTCTGGGAGGAGGTTCCCGAGGAGGTTGGTCAAGACATCCTCACGTGTCGCTGGGTTTTCGCTTTGAAAAGGAATCAAGAAGGGGATATCACCAAATTCAAGGCCCGTATCGTTGCGCAAGGCTTCAAGCAGATTCATGGCCGGAATTTCAGTGAGACTTTTGCCCCGACTCCAACTTTCTCTTCGCTAAGACTTCTTTTGGCCATGGCGTCTCACCACAATTGGCCTATAGCTTCCTTTGATGTGAAGAGTGCTTTCCTTCATAGTGACATCGACCACTCGGTTTTCATTCGCCCCCCTCCTGGTGTATCTGTCAGGCCTGGATGTGTACTTCGCCTTCGAAAAGCCTTATATGGGACTCGCCAGGCAGCGCGTTGTTGGTGGCTGCATCTTAAGTCACGCCTGGAGACGATTGGTTTCTTTCCCAACCCCGAGGATCAGTCTACTTACGTGTATTCCTCCGGGACGGACCGTGCTTTTCTGTGGGTCCACGTTGATGATGGTCTCTTCACCGCGAGTTCTCCCAGCCTATTGGAGTCGCTGAAGGAAAAGTTATCTTCAGTTCTGGATCTCAAGTGGGATGCTTCCCTATCCAGCATTGTGGGTCTGAGGGTTCGACAGGTGCCTGGTGGTTTCAACATTGATCAACCCATGCTGGTTGAGAAGATTTTGAATTTTCAACAATCGTCCATCTGCACTAGAACGCCCATCGCTTCAACGGATTTAGAATCAAATTTCTCCGACGGATCTATGGATCGTGATTATCTCTCCCGCATTGGTTGTCTCTTGTATTTGGCTCAAGGTTCGAGGCCAGATATCACGTTCGCGGTGCATTTCTTAGCACGATTTTCCATGAAACCTGACAAATCCCACTGGGCTGCATTGGATCATCTGATCTCATACATCCGGTACAGTGCGAAGCTAGCACTCCCTATAGTGGCTTCAAGCGACTCTGAGGAAGGCATCAAAACCTTTGTAGATGCAAATTGGGGAGGCGAAGTCTCGCGATCGGTCCATGGATTCATTTCGACTGTCTGGGGTGCGCCGGTCTCATGGTCCTCCAAGCGCCAGACCTGTGTAGCCAGATCGACGTGCCAGGCCGAGTACATGGCTCTTTCTTTTGCATCCAAGGATGCCATTTGTTTATTTTCCATATTGTCTTCTTTCTTCCCTCGCTTCCCCACGCCTCTCCTTCTTTCCGACAACAAAGCGGCAATTCACATCAGTTCCGATTGCGGCACCCGAAAGGAACACCGACATGTCGAGCGGGAGTTTCATGTGATCAACGAGCTTTTGTATTTCAAGAAGATTCGTCTTGAATGGATTTCGACCAATCATCAACTCGCCGATATTCTGACTAAAGCTCTCGGTTGGAAGAAGGTCTCGGAGTTTCTTGCACTCCTAGGATTGCGAAAGCAATCCCACACCTTGGCAAGTACAGGGGGGAGAGTATGCGCTAGCTGCGATGAACATACGCCCCCCGCATCTGTTCGTCTCCCTCCACAACTTCCGCCGACTGAAGAAGGTTGATTGGTTCCTCAGAAGCTAACCATTCCTGTGTTATATTTTACAGTTGCCGGCTACTCTGGGCTCATTTTGTCTCCATATCACTCTTTGTCCTTTCTTTCTAATTTTTCTTACTTGTCATTTTTTCTTTGTCTCATTTTTCTATTCATCTGTTTCTTTCACTGTTTCTCTTCACTCACTCTTTCATCTCAATTTTTCTTTTGGTTCACCTTTATGTCTTCTCAGGTTATCTCAAGTTTTCTTGCTTTTTATGTTTCTTGTTTCTTTTTCTTTCCGATTTTTCCTTTTTGTGGTTGATGAGGGGGGGAGTGTTGTTATACAGTATGCATTTACGTATATATCTATACTTATTATTTCTCACGTCATAGGTTTTTCACATACTATGTTATTAGATAGTCTAGTATGCATTTATTTCTCATCAACCAAAGTATGTATTTACAAAACTATAAATAGTTGTACTACATCTCTGAAATATATTTTCCCTTTGGGGGAGTTTTCTTCATCTCATCTTATTATTAGGATCCGTGATACAACACCGAGGAAGGCTTCCACTCGTTTTCAACCAGGTGACAACGCAAAAGTTGCTGCAAAATTCGTCTGTCTTTGAAGATAGCATGCTCCTGTACGTTTTCTACCAGGTCGTGTTTAATCATCAAACGAATTGCGAAGAAGATCGATTTGCGAAACTGATGGATCCGTCTGTCAGTCGAAACCAGTTTACTCAAGGGATTCAAAAACAATAGCTGCTTAAGATCCGTCAGAACTTTTGCTCCGTGCTCTTCGAATGTGCCCCAAGAACCCTCGGCAATTAGACGTCTGTCTTCTTCGAAAAGCTTGTTCTCGAGATCTTTTGAAACCGAATGTGGATCATATTTTTCATGTAAAAGATAATCAATCATCGTGACTCGTCTGTCGAGCTGATTCATGTCTTCTTGATAGTGCCGCTGAAGTCCAACATCACTAATTTGCTGTTTGGCTTTTTGGACCGTTTGCTTCACGTCCTCGAGATCGGCAGCCGCATCTTTATCGACCACTGTATAAATTAAATAGATGGATCAAAATAATCTGTGTTCAGCTCATTTATTTCACGGCTTGAGATCATGCCAAGGGAATAGTGAATTACACTTTGATAGAAAAAGCGTTGGTTCTGCATTGTTTCCTTTGAAAATGGTGCATAAGGAGAGGAAGAGGAGGCCAGAGGCAAGATGATAGACGGCCCTCATTTGATTGACCAAGAGTGAGGAGATAACTAGAGAATTAAGGATCTGATGCGCCGGAAAGAAGCCGCTTTGAACCTGTTTATCAAGGAGGAACTCGGATGCGAAAGGGATGAAAGGAGAACTTCCGTGCCTCTTTGGTGCGACTGGGCGAACGTCCTTATATTAATACTACGAAATCATAGCATTTGGGAACCCAAGTATCCTGGTCGCCAAGAAATCCAAACGGCAGTTTCATGTTCATCCGCCAGAACTTGATGCCCAAGATCATCAGTCACACAAACTTGGCATCCCCATGACTTGAATACATCGGGCGCGGGAAGATGTACGACGTGAAGTATACCATCTTGGACTTATCTCGAAACAAGAAGAAGGGGACAGGTTTCAACTGTTTAAGAGCCCAATGTTGAAAGTGTATGAAAGATGACACATACCCCTCTTTCTGGCGGTGAAAAGTTGGGGACATCAGCCATGTATGAGAGCACTTATTTGGAATAACCTTGACCCGGCTGGAAAAGCTGTGCAGAGGTGGGGTTGGAAGGGGTTAATTCATCAGTTTCTCCTTGTGTCACTAAAATTACTGGACAAAGCTTACTGAGTTACTGGACGGACGCGTTTGTTGACCAGTTTCTGGCAGAGAACACGAACAGGTCGCAAAGCTCCACAGGATCATTGGGTTCAACATCTCATATCTGCAGCATGGATACCAACTCGGTCCATTCTCCATCAACTCCAGACAACTCAAATAACAAGCCTATGATCACTTTTCAATGAGATGGATTAAAACGTCTTTTGATCACATAAAACAAATGGCATGAGTAATCATTGCCTGCAAAATCCAGCCTTCCATCATGAATGTCAAAATTATAAATAGTTTTATTTTTTCATTTCTATTTTTTTTTCTCTTTACAAGTTCTATCAAAAAAAAAACTTAATTTACCATGAAAAAAAATTATTTTTCTATTTTTCTTGCGGGGGAAGTTCCTTGTAACTATTTATGACTGGTCGAGTGATAATTTCCTGGGGATTGTGATAAGATTTTGTTGCATATAAAGAGTGGTAATTGAGTTAGCCTCGTGGAGAATACATCCTATATTCAAGATTGGGATTCAATTTTCAAGTTGGATGGAGTTTTCCTATGGAGCTGATAGTGAAAAAAGTATTGATTTACACAGTGGCAAAAAACACCACATGAACACATACAAGTTAAAAACGTTCACATTTGAGTGACGTGTGGCCTCAAGAAAAGGGTGATGGAGGGTGATGGTGGAGTTTTCTTTTCCACAAGCCCAAACTTAGCCCTTGAAGGTGAGCGCGGAGGTGGCTCCGCTCTTAGAGCCCCTCTTGAAGATGGTTTGGTAGCCCCCGTCGAGTCCACAATTCTAATAGGAGGATGCTTATCGTCTTTGACTGCATCGAACTACATAAGGTTTATATTCTGACTGACTTGACCTCAAGAGAACCAGCTTACTCCGACTATCACCATCAACTCACGATACAGCACCACGCATCGCAAGGAAACTCGAGCTCAAACCCTGCGGTTGACTGACTGGCATTGGAATCATCCATTCACACACACACATAGGCTCACCCCACCATCGGTCCACATCCGGAGCATCACTCTCATCCATCATAGAAGATGGCCCAGGCCATCCACCCCGATCAGCCAAAGACAACTGCTAAAGCAGCAGCCCCGAAACCGAAACCAGGAAAACTATCTCAGCAACACAAGTCGCCACCTCGGAAGATCCGAAAGCCGATCTTTGATGATATCGAGGAACAGATACACTCAGAAGCATTGTACGAGGATGATGATGGAAAACATATCTATCTGACCAGGGGATGTTTGTTGGGCGAGGGCGGCTTTGCAAGAGTCTACGCGATGAAGGACGAGGCGACTAATAAGATGGGCGCGCTCAAAGTCGTCAATAAGGACCAGCTCAAGAGCAGTAAGAATAAAAGTAAGCTGTATGCCGAAATCAAACTCCATCGAGCCATGGACCACCCGCATATCGTCAAATTTCACTCCTGCTTCGAAGATAGTCAGAACGTCTATCTTCAAATGGAACTGTGTGAACACGGGGTACGTTGGTCGCGGTTGGTCTAAAAAAAATAAAAAAAATAAAAAAAGTCGCGAAGTTCTTGATGTTGTAGCTGTTACTGATTTATGCGCGCGCTCTTTTCTTTGTCTTGGACCTAATTTTAATACTCTAGTCCCTGCTTGATCTGCTAAGATTGAGGAAACGATATGGTGAACCAGAAGCGAGGTTATTATTATATCAGCTGATCTCAGCATGTGCATACATGCACGATTCCTCAGTAATCCATCGCGACTTGAAACCAGGGAACTTATTCTTTGCCACCGAAAGCTCCTCACTCTATGGACAAGACGGGAACGATGGCTCAGATGCCGAACGTGGTCTGTGTGTCAAGGTCGGCGATTTCGGTCTGGCAGCTCTGGTCAAATTCAAGGGGGATCGTCGCAAGACGATATGTGGAACTCCAAACTATATCGCCCCTGAGATCCTGTTTGATCAGACCAATGGCCATTCTTTCGAAGTTGACATTTGGAGTGTTGGGGTCATTCTGTATGTCTACACTTCCCTTTCACTATTCGCATGTTACTTCTACGGAAGACCAACAGAAAAAAAACAAGACTTGGTTTTCATACGGTGTTGCTTATATTAAACATGACTTGTTGCTTCCAGCTACGCTCTACTTATTGGTAAACCGCCGTTTCAGACCAAAGATGTCAACCAAATCTATCGAAACATCAAAGCAAATGCCTACTCATTTCCCACCCCTTCACTAATCTCCCCATCTGCCACTGATCTAATTTCACTCATCCTGAATCAAAAACCAGAGGAACGACCTTCACTAGGCGCAATAGTCTTGCATCCATGGTTTTCGGACGGCCCGTTTCCATTCATGATCCCGATGAGTGCGCTCGATATATGCCCAGATTTCTCCAAGCTCAGCAAATTCCAATCGGATCGGTTCCGCAGTGATTATATTCGTAAACTCGGACTGGATGCAGCCCTCCAAGAAGAATCGATCAGTATGGCCAACCTAAGTCGTAATCAACGCACCCTAGGAACCGTAGGCGGGGCCGGAGAGGCCGATGATAATCGGCATCTGAATGAAATCGTCGAGGAAGAAGAAGATGAAGGAGTCCGGGCGGTCTCGAAGAAGATGTCGAAGATAGCACTGAAATCTGAACCACAGGAGGTACTATCCAAGGGTAAGAGGGCACTGGCAGCCTCGGCTAACAGCGAAAGGCCACCACAGAAGAGAGTGGTCTCTGCCGGCTCGGTGGGCGTTACGTTGACAGATCCCATCAAGGCGTCCAAAGAGCGCCGAAGAGTCGAACGCGAAGCACAGAGCGCCGTCAATCCTGGTAGTCCGATTTCTGAATTGTTGAAGAGTGCCAGGAAACCTCTCTACGTCTCCCCTCATGGTAACATGCAGCAACCGTTGATGCCGATGAAGGGACAAGGTGTCAATCAACTCTTCCAGAAGATGGTCGAAGAGAAAGAGAACAAGCGGGCGGCCAAAGAAGCTGAACGAGCGATCTCCAATGCGGATACCGGCTCAGATGTGGGAGGAGAGAATGAGAGGGATGAGCGGAACGGGCTTGGCCAGAGTACAAGGGCCGAACGAAAGGCAAAGCGACAGGTGGTCCCTCAAAGGATCAAGGACGAGAACGACCCTGGCAAACAGAAAGCACGCATAGCTAGTGGAATGCTGGACTACGGATCTGGCTGGTCGGCCGCCCAGCGCAACCCATATCTCGACGACGGTGAGGATGCTGAAGAGTTCGAGCCAGTTGAAGACGATGAAAAACCTCCCAAGTCTTCTACTCAACGCTCCAAATCGGTCGCGAAGGTTTCCTCTGAGAAACCGCCGGATTCCGCGAAATCTACTGCGGGTCAACTCGGTAAGGTCCTCCTGAAGTTCTTCTTTTTAATCAAAAAAAGCTAATTCTCAAAAAAAAAAAAAAAAAAAAAAAAACTCAAAGTAGGACGGCTCGCCCAGAAAGCGCCTGCAACGACCTCATCAACGAGCGAGCAGAATCTAGGCCGGAGTGGGATGACGCGGAAGCCGAAGCTAACGGCCTCGCAAAACCCGACGCTAGCGCTATATGATGCATGTCATCAGACGCTGATGGCAGCGCTCGGAGCGACCACGCCGGAGGCCTTGATGAAGTTGCCCTTCTACGACGGTCCGCCCGAGGAGGACCCCCAGGACCAGCCCCAAACCCCCGGCGTGTTCATCCAATCCTGGGTGGATTATACCCATAAATATGGCACCGCTTATGCGATGACGGATGGATCCTCTGGTCTTTACTTCAATGATGGCACTACTATGGTCATGGCTGCTGATCGGAAGTACGTTCCTTCATAGATCCAGAAATCTTCCTTTTGCCTCCCAAAAAAAAAAAATCTGACCGAAGCATCATTTTCTTTTGAAAACAAAAAGTCACTTTGATTATATTTTCAATCGAACAGGGATGGTTTATCAACGGAAGAATTACACATTAAAGCCGAAGAACTATCCGATCGAGCTAGAACGAAAGACATATCTGCTCGAATATTTCGAGGATTATATGTTTACGACTTTGAAGAGAAATGTCAAATGGGCCTATCGGGATTTGAATCGCACGAAACATTTGGACTTCGTCGTTAAATATTATCGGATGAATAATGCGATCGTGTTTAAAATGAGTAACGATCTTATTCAAGTTGAGCTTTTCTGTTTCTTTCTTTTTTTTTTGGGAGGAGGTGCATGTTACAGATAACAAGGACTGATGTGTTGTGTTTTTGTTGGATAGATCAATTTTTGGGATCATCAGAAGTTATTATTAACAGACAATGCACGAAAGATCACCTTGATCGAGCCGGATCTGAACTTGAAAACCTATTACATCGGCGAGTTATTCAAAGAAGCTTACGAGTTAGGCTTGTTTAAGCCGAGTACAGATAATCAGAACAAGAACAAGAAGAACAAGAAGAAAAGGACGACCAACAATCGCGGGGATGGACAACCCCATGATGATGGGGATGAGGAGGAGGAGGAGCAGCAGCAGGAGGAGGAGTTTGATCGTGAGCTTGAGGACGATGAGGATGATGTCGGTAAAGATCCCGAATGGATCGCGCAGAAAAAAAAAGTGGCCTTCGTCTTATCCAAATTAGAATGTCCGTCTTTTCCTCTTCTTCTCTTTCTTTGAAAAGATCTCTCGTTCTCACGGTTTTTCTTTCCTCTCTTCCAACCAACAAATAAACCCCGTCTTTTTTATACATGTCTACAGATGCTAGAAGCGTTTTGAAATCTTTGGTCGATAGAGGATCGAAAGAAAAAGAGCCCAAAAAGTCCAACAAATCGGTCGCTTCTTGATGATCATATCAACCATAACAAGTATCTAGTCCCCCCATTCCCTGCCTTTTTTTTCTTTTGACCTAACCATTCTACAAACAACAACCAACAAAAATGAACAATTTTACACGAGCATCATCATCATCATCCTCAGAAGAAGAAGAGATTCATATATAATTATGTACATTATGTGCACACACATTAAGATCAGGACCTGAGATAGATGACTAAGGAAATCAATCCACTTGTTCTTTTTCCAGCAGGGATTTTTCATTTTTTTGTGATGCACATTTTTTTTCTTATTACTCATCCATGTATAAGTCCTGCTTCCTCACTACTAGTCTTCATTATCTTTTTTTTGTGTGACTTTCTCTCTCTCGCTTGGCTCTCTCCTTCATCTCTGAAACACTTCTCATCATCCTCATCATGATTTAATATTATGTTATTGTCGTCGTTGTGGTAAGCCACTCCTGAAAATTCAAATTTATCAAGAGCACAAATCACAGAAGAATCACACAGTCAAGACACCCCAGAAAGCTCCCCAGACCCCCAAACCAATCATGAATCCCCTCAAGCACAGACCACATGGATAATAATATTTCCCAACCAGAAACTCCACAGCCCTGAAACTCATTCCCCTCCAAACATATTCCATTCTTCTTACCCCTTGTGTTCCACACTAGTAACAATCCCCCTGATCCATGAAACAGTTATTTCCTCCTATCTCCTTCCATGGAATATTCCCCCCTTAGTTGTTTCATACTAGTAACCTTGGGAGCATTTTCCCACTGCTTGTTTCCCCTGTTTTCTCTGGATAAATATTTTCCCTTGTTTCATACTCTCATAGAATGTTCCATTTATCTTCCAACCACAAGCTGGCCACTCCCCAGAATTTTGTATATAAGGAGCTTTGTTTTTCCCCCTTCATTTGTTCATTATCAGATCCTGCCCCAGCAATCCAGATAACTGATCACCCATTATTAGCCAGGTATTTGCCCATCAACATTTGGGA